ATTTGAAGTGTTGACTGATGTAGCCTCCCTGGTGTGGAAAGATGAATATTTCTCACTTATTAATATCCCGTAATGAGGGAATAACCTTTAACTTAAAATAACTGGTTTGGAGATGGCATTAGAACATTCGGCCTCCTCATTCCCCCCCTGCAATTTGTGATTTTACCAATTATTATTCTTGGTTGTGAGCATAAGTTACTGTATGCCTTTATCCAATATGTATGCGCACACACACACACACATACACACACACACACACACACACACACACACACACACACACACACTCACACTTACAGGCACAATGCAAAATAATTTTAGGAAATACATTTAATTGCAATTATAGCAAGGGGTGTGAGTTTATAATGCTGATCATGAAATAAAAAACATCAAAGCCAGTAATGAGTCTAAATCAGATACTCATAGGAAGGTAGCTCTATAGTATTTAAAAATAAATAAAGTCACATTATTAAGAATTAAAGCAAAATTAGAAAGTTTCCTTTGAAAATGCCTTAATACATTTCCAAGTGGTAAGATTATTACAAAATTTCCCTGGAAAGGTAAAAATTAAATCAACAGCATTAAAGTTAAAAAAAAAAAAAGAAAGAAATCCGACAGTCTTAAACAAAAGAGTAATATAAATATAATTTCAGAAGCTACTAGGCAAGGAGAAAATGGTCTTCTAATCAATTTACTGTTGCAAAAATAATTCCAAATTATTTTCATGGGACATGTGAAATTATTTTGATGGGACACATATGAGTATTGCTACCTTAGCTACCTTATTTGTTTCTACCCAAAGGTATTTAAAAAACAACCAACTACTGGAGTTAGATTTTTAAAGCTATTCTTGTGAGCAGAGATTGAGGAATGTACTGAAACGTGAATTTTAATTTTGTCCATCCAATGGGTATCTTTATCATTATCAATACTGTAGGATATCATAAGCCTGGGCTAGAATTATTTCTTTGATAATTAATGGTAATAGCAATGGAAAGAAATTAACCATATGTTCTACACTGAGATTCACAAATTAATCAATTGGACAGTGTTCAAATATATTCGGTCCTACCCAAGTTCCTTTAGTAGGCATTTGGGGGTAAAAGAAATTATCACTGTTTTTCATAATTTCAGTCCTTTTTTTTGGTCTACAGACTGGAGAAGATGTTATTTGCATGGTCCCTAAGATAGTTATTTTTCCTTTTATAATTAAACCATATACTTTTCATGGAGAAGATATGTAACCCTTTTATCGAAAATCTCCCCCATGCAGGGCTACTGAAACTGTCAACAACAGTAGAAACTGCTGTGAAAACTTGCTAACATCACATGCAAGGCTTGAGTAGCCTTCTGAGTTAAAAAAAAATTCATGTACATATGCACTGTGAACTACTCTTGAGTTCTCTTAGCAAGACTTTGGATGGCACTGTAATTCACACCAGAGGCTCCTGCAGTGTCTGCAGCAGAAACATTTTGACTGATAATCTCTCCCAACACATTCATGCTTGAGCATTAAATCATCAATGCAAAAGTAAGAGTAGTATTAATAATCTTATTAATGATAGTCGTGGACACAGGAGCAACACAGAACTATCGATACAACATCAGCTTCTGAACACAAAGCTTTGATTAAAGAATAAAGAGATAAATTATTGGCCTATATTTAATTCTCTAAGTTGGCCTGTAAAATTGGCACTATCTTCTGTCTTAAGTTTCTCTCTGCTTGACTTTCTGCTGACAATGCTGATATGAAGATTTTCACATCCCATCCCTACACTTCGGGTAGCTTTGTGACCAGAACCCTTATGGACTTGTCCAAATAACTTTTTTTTCCCCCAAAGGCAATAATGTACTCCCCCAAGAAAAATATCTTCAGTAGTTCTTTTGAAATGTTAAAATTTCTATCTATCTATCTATCTATCTATCTATCTATCTATCTATCTATCGATCTATGCTTGTACTTTTCAAGTCACAAATCTGTCACTTTAATTTCTTCATTGAAATACTTTAAATATACTCATATGCTCACTGAGAACATATTAATACTTGTTTAATAACAAGCATACAACCATGTGGCACTGGGTGCTGACCTGACACTGCCTAGTGCTGCTGACGTTATCTCCAATCACATCAGCCGTCCACCTCCTCACCCTCCACTCCTTCGCCCTGTGCACCACGTGTCAGGGCAGCCCACACTTGGACTCTTCATGTTATGCAGAATGACATTTGCTGGAGCAAGTCAGTGCCTTAAAACCAGTCACTCATTACAATAACTTATGACGTGAACTTTCCCAAAAGGCTTTGTTGTAAGTCAAGGTGACTATACATTTCTCTTAGACTGGAAAACAAGTTATGGGTTCCTAGTATGGGATCCCTGGGTCCATATATTATGAAGCTACCTCATATTTGGGTAGATTTTCTCATTAGTTGGTATAAACAAAAGTCTTGAATTTGAGATCAGTCAAAAGCTTTGTAAGCCAAAAGGCACACATTTTTGCCACACAAAATTACAACTAGGTAGGAGAAATAAGTTCTTGTGCTCCACAGCACTACAGGACGGCTGTAGTTAACAATAATACATTACATGGTTTCAAATAGCTAGGAGGATATTGTATGTTTCCAACACAAATACATGATAATTGTTGGACATGATGAATATGCTAATCACCCAATCTGATCACTATACATTGTCTGTATCAGAACATCATTATATACCTCATAAATATGTACAATTATTATAAGTTGATGAAAAAATGAAAAACCCCAGTAACCCCAAACCACCAAATGAACTATCCAGTTCTAGTGGGCATAACATGTTTGTTTTCTGACTTCCAAGTCGAAAGTTCAGATCAGTTTTTATCCATAATTAATATGTCTACTGAGCTAAATGACTGGCAAAGCCTCACCGTCAAGAGTGTGAACTTGTCCATAAAGATGTCACATCACAAGGAGCTTTAAATTTCATAAGTAATTACTTTAAAGAAAATATACGGAGTCAGGAGTAGACACAATTAGTATACTCTAGGCCAGCAGAGTTTGGCCACAAGGTCTCATTCTCTGGTGTTGACACCGTACTTCTGACAGGCCCTCTTATTCCCACACTGAAGTCAGATTGCATTACACAAAGCGTAGCTGATGGGAAAACCCTTAAGAGCCACCATGGTGGCAAAGACCATTTTTCTGTCTCAGCACAAGGCTCACTGGCCCCATGGCTGGTGGTGGATGCGTCCCTGAGCCCTGGCAGTAAAGCCGGGGTCATCAATGTCCCTGTAGGCACTGCAGCTGTCAACAAGGCCCAGCTGCAGTCACTGACAAGGATCTGTAGGCCACTGGTGCCCACAGAACTGGGGAAAGTGAAGGCCGAGCCCACATCTCACACACAAGTGCAAGTCCTTTGGGTTTGGAGAGACTCATAGCTGCACACTGTAAATGGTCCTTGCTTCAATGAAAACATGTTACAATAGAGTTCTACTGACATTCACTCTTTTTGATGTGGGATTACTGCTGATGCCAGCTGGGGGAGTGACTCAGTACTGCCTAGTTGAAGTATCTGCTCTTCAGTGGTGAGCAATGTTATTCAGAAAATGGTATACAGGGATGCTGGTCAAGCTACCCCATTATCTCAGTAACTGGGATGCAACTCAACTGGGAACCTTGCCTGGTTGATCTGTGGAAGGTCCCTCTTTAACAAGCATCTAAAAGCAGCCACGAGATGAGTGTCAAGTTCTTGGTAGAGAACTGAAATCTTAGCCAGGGGCAACCAAAAAGCAACACCATTTTAGTTAGTTCCTTTGCCATACAGACTACAAATGAAGCTAACCAGAGGCTCTAAGTCAGACGAGTTTCTTCTGAATCAATTAAAGCTTTTGTGAGGGGACAAGAAGCAAAAAGTTTAGAAAGAGTTACTTATGACAAATCAGAAGCCAATAATTTGTCTTTAATGTGACTTTTAGATTCAAGAACAATTTCTATAAGATGTCCTAGGAAAAATATTATTTTAATACAGACTTTTAAAAGCAAAGAGTAATTACTTGCTAATAATAACCATTATTTAAAATAAGTAATGTCATGACATATGTGGAAACTGGACTTTTAGAGAGACAGTGGAACAAGGAGTGGAACAGAATATTCCTGAGCCAGCAGAAACATGTTTGCTTTATCTTTCAGTTTACAAATGGTTTTTTCTCAATCACTGAATATGAAACTAAAAAAATTGTCTGAAAGATTAAATGATTTCTCACTGTCACTTTTAAAAAGAAATGTCTACAATGCCAAATATCATTTAAACACAAGATCATTTTGTGTTATCTTTTCATCTTGTTCCTTTCTTAAATGCTATTAGAAAAATTAGGAGTAAAAATGAAATGAGAAAGTACCAAAATCATTTATGCAGATTTGGCAAATCTCTTTGGGCTTGAATATATGGCAACGTAGTCTGGCCAGTTTTTACAGCTAATCTATGATGAGCATAGGAATAAAACAGAGACCACATGAGAATAGACACCAGCTTCAGAAAACAAAACGATATCGCAGTAACCTACGAGTGAGAACAAGAGCTGCCTCTTCAAGCATGGGAGTGGGTATACGAGATTAAGGAATAGAGATAAAGAAATGTGATAACAATTGAAGACTAGAAAATGATACTTTAAATCCTTTAACAGTGATATATGAGCAAGGTCAGAATGGGAGCCTACCTGTGATCACATCTACATCCTAACCTGATAACATTTCCTAAAACAGAAAACACAAAAAATGCTTAGAGAGTTTTCTTAGATATTGCAAAACTCGCTGGGAGTTCTCTCTTTACCACTTAGTTCCCTACACCAAGACTTCAAAAGACAGTGACCCTGGAGCTTCATATATATTTCAAGCAGAAGGCATGCCTGTAAATCGTTGCTGGGTGCCCAAACAGTTACAAAGAAAGAAAAGATTATCTGCTGCAACACAATTTCATGTATCAAGGGTTTAATAGCTAGGGTGTTGTTAAGAGACCAACTTACATTAATAAGTTCAACTTCCCAGATTTTTTTCAACAGGTCCATCGACGTGTAGCCATTAATTAGAAAGGCTTTGGTGTAGTCGCCCAGTTCAATGGAATCCAGCCACTCTGCTACAGAGGTGGGGTGGTAGCCGTCATGACCAATGGGTCTCATCTGGAATGAAGAAAACCACGTTGGGGTGAACTTAAATGGTTTACTTTGCATTCCAAGAACAGAATGCATGCCGCCACTTCAAAATCTATCTGGTAGAAAGCAACAGCTCTTTCTGAATAAGGAAATAAGAGAAAAGAAAATACTTCATGCACACTTCTAAATCATTAATAATTTTCACGCTGAATTAGTTTTCAAAAACATGTGCAGAGATTTTCAATTTAGCCGTTGAAGTTAACTCCATATTTGGAAGAACAAAATATGTCCAACTTCGATTATAGACATTATTGGCATTCTGTGGGATGGAATTAAAAATGGTGTCAGTTGGGTGGCATTTAATTCGATACTGAAGGCACAAGGAAGTGTGCTTCCAAAATACAGATGAGAATCCTCATACGTACGACATCAAAGCAGGTAAAAATATGGCATGACTTAAACACTCAAAAGGAATTCATGCTTATGCAAGACATGTACTGTAGGTAGTGCGGACATGCAGGAGAGACACTGTGGAAGCCAGCAGGAAGAGGCTGTGGGTATTTTAAGACCATGTGTTCTGCATCGACTCTACAGTATGTTAGACATGAATAGAGAGAGTTGCTGGCAGACAGGCACCTATTTTTTGTCAGCTATATTCAGATTTTTAAAAAATACTTTAGGAGGACAAAGAAGTGTGACAGCAACATAATGTTTCTGGGTTTAAATTGGAGTGTGAAAGTAATTTAAGGAAGAGGAACTGCTGGTTTAAAACGTTGTATGGATATTCTGGTCCTTTGGCTTTTATTTGAAATTTTAGCTGAATTTGTGGTTCTTGGCTTGGGAACGATTCACTCCTAAGCCTTGGGCTGCTCTGCGTGTGCCATGCCATACGCCTAATACTTCAGTTATTGGGACAGCTGGCGCCTCGGCCGCCTGCGTGGGCCTGCAGTGAAGTGCATGATGGGAACAGCACAGCTGGGTTACATGCACGGCATACATGTTCCCCTTCCTTCAGATTCCAGGAGATAAACGTTAATGGAAATCTATAGGATTCTGACTTGTGGGCCGAGAACAGATTAGTCTGGGCACCAGGGGTTTCGATCTTAATCTTAAACATGTTTTCTGTCACTATGCAGAGTTCTCATTTTTGAGATTCTCCTTAATCCTTCATTTTCAAGTTATTTTTTTCACCTTTCCCTTTTCCCGTTGTGCTACTCCCCAGTCTAGTTTCCATTTCAAGGTTTAAATGTCCTCTATTTTAAAGATACAGTGCAATTCATTATTTGCATCAGAGCCTGAGCTGTGTCAGACTTTTGTATTTCACTTTTACATTGATGACTCACTTGAGCTACTCCTTAAATGTTTGTACACATAACAATTAGCTCAGTGTTTATTACACAGTTGCTACTAATGTAAATGACAACTAAGGGTTTACAAAGTGACATTTAGGGGCATTAATAAGTAACCAGATGCTACCCATAAATAAAAGTGGAGACTAGGACCCAAAAAAGGAGACTCAATGGTAGTGATTGGGTGGCTTCATATTCCACAGAGAGTTACAAATATACAAGGGGGAGGACCCCCCAAATGTAATTTATTTGTAAAAAATTGTGTCTTTATTCTTACACGTTTAAACTTCAGTCACCTTCAAAGTACTCTCCGTCTGATGCAATACACCCGAGACCCTTTTTCCACTGCTCAAAACAGTTTTGAACTCGTCAGTTCTGGGGTGCTTCTGCCATTTTTTGTTTCACCTCTTCTACATCTGCAAAAATGGTTCCCTTTGAGGAGTTTTTTAATCCAGGGAAACAAAAAAAAGTTGCCCAAGGGAAGATTAGGAGAATAGGGAAGATGGGGCAATGAGGTCATGCTGTTTTTGGTCAAAAATGTGGAACACTCAGGGCACTCATAAATCATCCATCATGAAATGGGCAAACACATTGAAAGAATCTCCAAAAAAATTCCCTGAAGCCAAACAGCCTCTCACAACAACGCTAGCTGGTACACTGATGCTAACGGGTTCCTAGAACACTTACCTAGCGGAGGAAGCCTGTACTACAAGGGGCCTGCCCTCCAAAAGACAGTTTCGGGGTGTGGGGGGGTGTGTGTCCCTTGCCTTGGGGCTAAGTGCATCCTTCAGGACTTGGTAAGAGGTGGTTGAACTAACTCTGCTAACGTAAGCAATCACTCCAACCCCAGGAAATTCCCTGACTGCCCCACTTGACATAAAGAAATAAGAAAGGGAAGGAAGGAAGACAGAATCGCTGAAGCTGAAACTGGCAGCCTGGTAGGGAGGTCTTGCTGTTAGCCCATCCAAGCAGCGGATTGTCCCAGCAGCAGACACTGGGGACAAACTCAGGAGTCTTGATGACTCCATTTGGCACAGAGTCAGTTTTCCCATACCAGAAAACTGTAAGGTGAAGGTCCCAAAGGTTACCCCAAGCACTCACACACCACCCCTTTGAGGGAGCCCTCGGTGGCCTTCTGCACACAGAGGTGTCGATGGACAGTGCCAGCCAAAGCATCAGGGAGCTGGCCAGAGGACTGCAAGCCACAACCAGGTGAGTATGAAGATGATCCCTTGTCCCCCAATCCTTCCTTCTTATCCTGGGGCCAGAATTTAGAATCAGAAAGGAGAGAGGTGCCCGCCTCTTGGGGGAAGCCTAAATTTGGGGCAGGGTTGGGGGTGGTAAAGGATATAAAACTGGAGGTTTCAAATGAATTGGAGCTTAGTTTTCATATTTTACACGATTGCCAAGGTACTGGATATGTCTGAGATGATATTAAGAAACAGTAAAGAGAGAGTCAGTTAACTGAGCTTGGTTGAGGGCAATGATTGGAAAAACCCCAAACGAACAGCCATCACATCTGCATCTCGCTGAAAGCAGATAGCTCAGTGGGCTACTGACGCCAATATGGCAAGTTCTCCTAGACCAACCTGAAGGAGGTGACAGGAAGGGAGATATTTGGAGAGAGGATCAAAGACAGGGGCGGGGTGGACAGCGAAGCTGCAGAGACCCTGGCAACGATGTGCTGAGGTGGGCAGGGCAGTATCCACCCATCCATTCCTTCAGTCAGTAGTTAATCCGCGCCTACTCTGAGGAATGTTGTAGAAACAGTAGAGAACAAAACAGTCATAGTCTCTCCCTCATAGTAATGACAACTGTTAATTAAAATATGTGAAAAGATGACCAACGAATTATGAAGGTTCTGTATATCTGAAGCAAGGAAACCGTTAGAGCCAAATGAAGTTACAAAATTAACTTGACACATATTTAATGATATGCAGAATGGTTACTGTGTGCACAATAGATTCTTCCAAAGCAGTTCTCCCATCTGTTCCTTTATTTCTGTTCCTAATGCCTCCACCCTGTTTTGTCTTATTAATGCTGACAAAAGCGAATGCAATAGCCTTCTATATGGCCTTGTACCTTTGGTCCAGCTTATTGTTTCTAGCTACTACATTGGTCGTCCTTTTTAGGAAAAACCTGTAGTGGCCCTCTCTTGAGAAGAGTTGTCTAAGTGTCTTTTTCCATCACTCGAGGCCGATTGAGATGAGCCTAATCTCCCACTGCTCTGCTATGTGCGCCCAATATATGTGACTAGTCGCCTGGGTGTCTCTACACTGTGCATCCCATGGCTAGCCATTCCCTGAACATGAACTGAGAAAACATTGTCACGTCTTTGCTAATATAATTTTCTGTGCTTAGAATGCTTTTGCCCTGTCTGTGGAGTGATTTCTGCAGGACTGGCTTCTCTTTTTGAGCTCTGACATCCACATTTCTAAACATTTTGAGGGCATCTCACATAGATGTTCTATAGGTATTGCCAACATAAGTAAAAAACAAATTTATCTCCTTAAGCTCAAAACTGGGCTCGTCCCTTCTGTTTTTCATCACTCCGCTGCCCAAGTAGACATCTTAGGAGTCACCTTACTTTCCTCTTTATATTGACCATCACATCACTTAGGACAACTCCTACAGATAGATTTGATTTCCAAGATGGCTCTCAACTCAGTTCCCTTCTTCTAAAATGGACTTTGGGATCTGACAATCTCAGCAGTGCTACTTAGTTGTTGAATGATGGTGGCAAGTTTCATACCTCTTTGAGCCTCAGTTTCCCTTTTTCTAAACTAAGTATAATAACTTTTACCTCAACTGTTTTGGGCAGATATAAATTGGGAATTTAAATTGCCTAGCACAGTGCCTTGAAGAAAATAGCTATTCAATAACCCTCAGTTCTCTTCCCTCCTCACTGCCCAATTCATTCTGAATTGCATAATATTCCACCATTGGCTGCTACTCTTTTCCACTTCCAGTCAAAGCTCTCCTGTCTCATCCCTTGTTCCCTCCCTCACTCCCTTCCTCCTTTATCTCATTTTATGTCTGTTGACATCTTTGCCCTTCTCCCCTTCAGTTGACAATTGTTTCTCAGAAATATATCCGGCAAGGTCACTCAAGCAGATTGCATTGTCATTTCTAATTCTTTATTCTCTTCCTGTATTAGAATTATGCCTCTGTACCCTTTGCCAAGGGATCGGCCTCATATCTCAGTGTGGCTGGAGTTTCTGACCAGTTTCCTTGATGTTGGCCAATGGAACGGGCAAAAGAGTCACTGGGGCAGTTTGTAGACGAGGCCTTTGTGTGCCTTTGTGTTTGATGAATCCTTTTGTGTTCATACGCTCTAGCATAAGCATAGCAAGTGCTGTGGAGTCGAACTGCTGGTTCAAGGAGAAAATTGAAGACTTGTGGAACAAACCTAAATTTAACCCAAAGCCTGGAGTTCACCTTAGCTTGATGGAGCTCAAGAAAGTCCAGCTAAAGTTAGCTGAACCACAGCTAACCAGCAGACCCATGAGTAAGAAAAATATTTATTGTTATTGCTGTAAACTAAAAAATTTTTGATATATAGAGAACTGAATAGAGTTGCTCCTTGTTTCAAAACCCTTGGTATTTGTACCCTGGGCCTGTGGGATAGAACCCAGATTCTTTCATTTATGGATCTCCTGTCACACACATCTTCATGAG